ATAACCCACCGGCTTATGTCATTTTTCCGAATAGATTCCCTGCAGACGTTGTCATTTATCGGATCGATTACAGCCAATTAACCGTTTCCCTTAAGCCCAGTTCATCAAACTAAATTCCAGCCACCGTTAAGTGTTTAAGTCGGGGTTGTAGGCCTTGTCGGCCAGAGGGGGCATAACTAAGCCAGTTATGCAGAAAGTTCCGTCCAACCAGTCAAATGATGGCCCGACTGCATAAACTAATTTCACTGTTTAAACCAATTACGGGATTAGTTTATCAATGGATATCGGCTTAACAATGCATAGTTTAGGTTCGGTTCCTTTGTTTCTGGCTTCGATTTTCGCCTAAATATTGGCAATTTAATTGAAAACTGGGTCCCATTTCATGTTCATGGGAATTGAGAATTCTGTTATAAACCATTGCAAATATTTTATTAATATAACTGGAGTAACGTTCATAACCGGTGAAGTGGGTGTAAAAAATGTAACTTGATTGAAAATCTGTCGGTAGATTGGAAACTGAATTAAAAAACAATACAATATTTATTAATAACTAATTCCCTTTACTAACGCTCTTACTCTAAATTTCTCTCTCTCTCTCTCTCTCTCTCTCTCTCTCTCTCTCTCTCATTCGTTTTAAATTTTCATTGTGATTATTCTTTCATCTTTATTTTTAGGATCTACTCATATGGAAAAACTTCAAATGGGCTTCGCCCTGCAAATGGATTTATTACAGGACGCAAGAAACTTTTACTTACGAGAAAGAGGCCTAAGCAAGAAAAAGAGGTGGTTAGTCACTTTTCTTGTTACGTTCATCCAGCGAAATGTTTCTCCTCGCCCACCATGTAGAGAACATATTTTAGCCAAAGAGCAGCCGTGGAAAAAAAGAAGAGAAAAAATGGAAGAGAGAACTCCTCTTGAAACAAAGACCTTCCTAAAAAGCGTTCTCTTGCCTGGCGAGGTGCGCTCTAATACTTGACACTTCCACACATATTTCCATATATATATAAACTGAACCTTTCATCTTTTATGTTGTCATTTCGCACCCGACACTTTCCATCGGGGCCAAAAGTAATCTTTCGTCGTCTACTTTGTGTCATAAGTCACAATTAAGACTCCCCTCAGGCTAGAAGTTTTTCAAATCACTCCCATGAGATCCATTAGAAAAATTATAATACGCAAAAATAAATTACATTGGAGGAACGCCTTTTACAATATCTGTATGCATATGAAATGTGAGATAAAAACTCTTCCAATGTTTTCTTTTATTGTTTGGGGAACGGAATGACTAGGGACTGGTGTAATTGTTGTTTATAGTAAATAAATTTAACCGGAAAGAAACATTAACTTATTATTCATATTTTTTCTCACGAAACAGAAATTAACTGTATATTGTTAATTTCTGTTTCTTGAGAAAAAATATGAATAATAAATTAATGTTTCTTGTGAATAATGAAATATGAATAATAAGTTAATGTTGTAAAAAATAGTAACTTTAATAATATATATTAAAATAGTAGTTTTGTAAAGCAAATTCCTTTTAAAAAAGTGTGATCTGAAGAAAAAGATTCCTAATGTAAATCTCGTTTGAAATGACAAAAACCCGAAAACGTGCATATCAATTTCAATTTTTGTTATTATTTTTTTAAACAAAGCAATAGGGATAAGGTAAAATAAAGTTTTGAATGAAATTAAATTATAAACAAAGACATCGATATTTATTTTTTATTTATTTGTTGAGTTAATCAACCTTTCTTCATGTAAGATTAAAGACATTTAAAAAAATAATTATTATGAAAAAATGATTTTATTTAGTATTATTATTATTAAAAGCAATGATATATAAGAAGCACTAATTGATGAAAATGTTTTGCAAGAATATTTACCTAATTAGGTTATTAATTATTCAAAGTTTTTAAAAGTACTCTGTAATTAAAATGTTATTTTTCATTTTAGTAAAAAATTTAACTGGTGAGCTTTTATAATTGGGTTAATGTACTGTTTGTCTAGTTACCACGAGTGTCTTGGAACGTACATTAAAAACTTCAGCGACTTTTAACTTTTATTAACATTTCTATTAACATTAAAAACTCGGAATGCTTTAATAAATTTAATGTTTTCCTAATAAAATACACATGGGCAATATGTGTTCCGACAACTCCTGTTGCTAAATCATTTCGTTACAAAACAATTGATTCATTGTTGGTTTGCCTTATTTTAAAATTAGGGGTAGTCCAAGAGGACGTGGTTTTTATAAAGGTTAATTTATTTCACATTCATTCTACGTTTCGGACTATTTTTTTCTGTCCATCAGGAAACCCTAACAAGGAGTACAGTCAAATTAATATACATTGTAGCATTAATAATTTACATAATTTACATTTTTATTTTTATTTTATGTTTAACAACTTGTTACTAAATAATTGATTGACTGTTTGGTAGAGGATTAAAATCTGTATGTGTCCAACCAATATAACATCAAAACAAATAAAATATGAATTAGGTGTTTTGGTGGTCCAGGATAAGACATTGCTCTTTCTTACCAGTCCAGCCAAGAAAGTTAGATTCCAGAGGCTGTAAACAGCTTGGTTATTTCAGCCCATTAAAGAATAAATTTTTCAGTTAACTATACTACTCAAACCTGAACGCATTATTTCTGTTTTACACACTTTTCATTCATGTAGATGGTATATTCTTGATATTCCTCCATTACCTTACACATACTGTCTATTTAATATCCTTCTCCCATTAAAAATGCACCCTAATAAACTCATTCACTCCAAATATAGACAAAAAGAGATACGATAAAACTATCCAATCTTGTCGACTAAATGTTCTCTGTAAATGCATCTTACTACTAAACTCAATTTCCAGGACGGCCTCAACATTTCATTTGTCAACGAACTGATCCGAACCTGCTTCCAAACGTCCTACATCAAGCTTTCGATACGTCCTAACACCTTTAATGACGATGACTTTTGAGCTCCTCAACCTTCAGAAACAGGGGTTTTCTCGAAAAGTTGAGTCGTTATCAAACGGCTTCCGTATATGGCCTACAGATTTGTGAGTCGTTTGAGAAAGACGGCCGAAATATTGAGTGCCAAAGTTGGCTGGTTTCTCTCAACATATCGCACACCCACAAGAAAAGTGACACAAATCGATTTTTATTTTTTTAATAATTCAGGAGGGTAGTACTACAGGAAAAATTACACAACTATAGGTGGACTCTTTGCTGCTAGGCGGGAAGGTACTGTCAACATTAAAGAAAGATGGTAAATCTTAATTCTGTGTCGAGCTGTAAAGCATTGGTGTGAGTATTTATCAGGAAAAGTGGCACATTTCGAATTACACCAGTTTTTTTCTTGTTCAGTGAAGGATTTTTAAGCTGTCCTGGAGTCACGGTTTCTCATTACGATAAACAGTTAAATCAATTGTAGAAATATGGTTTTCGTAATGTGACATTAATATAGGTCTTGATGATGACTTTAAAATAGGTCGAAAACTAGGCAGTAACAACTAAATTTCCCTTTTTCCTTCAAGACCATATCTTGATCTACAATGTTCGTGAATTATTTTAGTTTCATTTGTTTTATTTTAATAGCATTCTTACTTATAATATTTTTCCATAATTTTTTAACAAAGCTGACTTTTAACTGACGTTTCAGCGATTTTTTGATGTTTTAATTATAATATTTTTAATGATAAAAAAAATCAATAATTAATTTTGTATTTTAAATAACTAATTTTCTCTGACTTTATGAGGAAAGCATTTTTGGAGCACTTGCTACATGGATAATTATGCTTGTTTGTTAGGTTTGCCTGTTACTTTCACCAAAAATTAATACCCTTACTAGTCATGAAGTGACGACCATTATTGCTAGAGCAAACAAACTACCTTAAATTACTGAGAGCCAATATATGCAAGAAAAGTGTCACAACTGAAAAAGGGCTGGTTTTTAGAGGTAGTAGATCTGGATTTTTAATGTTTTGTGTTTTCGCTTAAGCCTTGTCGAAACGAAAGCCAAAATCGATGGATCACGACAAAACGGTGACGGCTTGTGCTTAATACATAAGTCGCAAAAAATTATCCATTTTTCTCTCCTGTAAAATTTTCTTTTGTTTAGATGTGTCACTTTTCTTTTGGGTGCGATATGTCCTCCGAGTATAGAGCTGGCTATATTATCAGCGTTGTAACCGAAAAAACACATATGCGCACTTATTATTAATGAATTTTGTATTAATATATGCATGATACAAATAAACTAGGTGCATGAATATATTGTAAAAACTTTAATAATGTGCCAAAACTTGTAGTAAACGCTAATTGGTTCATCAGATATAACCGTCAGAATGTACAAATAACAATACAGCTTTTAATTTATTAAACAGAAATACTCAAAGTGCTAACAAAATTTAATTAAGACAAAAGAACTAGGTCAATAATGAAATCAGACACTAACAACGGTTGACTGAAATCAAGATTAAACTTGCAACCACTTTCTAAAAACGAATATCAAACGCACTAAAAATATGTTTGTACTTACTAATTTTGTAATTTATTTATCTTTTGAGATATCATATCATCTTTGACATTGTATTTGATATAACATTTCAATTAATGAAAGCTTATAGTTATTGGTCGAGATAAAAAAGTAAGTGCCACGAGCGGGATTCAAACCCACGACCTTCGGCCGCTGTTCTACCACTTGAGCCATCGTGACTTCGATCCGCTCGGACACCAACCTCCCATCTCAAATTCACCTTTTGGAATTTTCCCTCCTTTTTGCCATTTTTCAATTTTTGACTGAGAATCAATTTCTGACTTTTTTATCTCGGCCAATACCTTATTTAAAGATTAATTATTTGAAAAGAATTTAATTGTTCAATTGGACAACGAAACTAATCGATTTAGTAATGTGTTATGTTGTTAAATCTAAATGACATTATGTAAAACTATTTGTTTTGTTGATCTAATAAAATAAAATTATTTAAAACACACTTACCAAACAGCTCACAGCCTATGTAGTAGAAAACAGAGTACCCCGGCAATAAATGCAAACGCTGGTTTCGCCGTCGGCTCGCTGTAACTACTCGTTCCTTCTGCGGACAATAAAAAAATCAGGATTAACACTATTTGAAAATAATCACTTTTACAATGTTAATCTACGTTGTCCGGAATTTGTAAATTTCTTGAACGGCTGTCGCCCAGAGGCGAGGTTTTTGCACGAAAAAAGCCGGCATTTAATCACCATTTTGTAATTAAATGTCATAGACAGACTTAAGGGCACTCAACTCGTAATTATTTAACAGACAGAGAAGCGTAATAGACAGCGGCTCTGGCGTGCCCGGGTCGAAGGCACGCTAGCGTCGCCGCCAGTTACGGCTCCTGACAAAACCACCTGAACTTCACACTTCACGACACACGTCTATGTCGGTGTTCTCTCGACCGACGGGAGAATGTTTAACGCCCACGGCTGCCCCAAATCGACTCTTGTTAAACTAGTTGGTAAATTTAATTTAAAATATATCAGGATTCCCAATCACAAAACAAAGAAAAAAGTTAAACCTTGCCAGAGACTAACAAATATATATCAATTTTAATTTTCCCTGTACCATTTAGAAAAGTTAAAAAGTTGAAAATTAAAGTTAATCCATATATATTTGGCGGCTATAACTGACCGTATTAATTACGTCACATAATTATTCTTTTTATCTAAGGTTTTGGTTTCTTTTGTACAAGAGGCTTGACCGAAATCTCGATGTGTTCTGCCTGACGAACGAGAAACATGGATGAACACTAAAACTGAGGAATTCCGTTGACTCTTCAAATTCCGAGGTGAATTTCTGTTCTTTAACTCTAGGCTTTTGATAGGCTGCCAGTAGTGACGTGTGATACCCATCGATATGAGTAAAATATCGACTATTTTCTTTCAATACCGAGAACTTTTGGTATCGAATATTGTCAATCAACACAAGTACTGCATCGAGTACGTTTTGCAGTATCGGTAAAAATACTCAAATAGATTTTTCATCAAGTGCTCAAATAATATTGCATTGTTATTTTCCGTTCGAAACATACCTTTCAGCGAACTGGGAGTTGACTAGTTACTGTTAGGAGTGCCTACAAGCGGCATGTGTCAACAAAGTGAATCGAGATTTCGAATGTGTGGTTGTTAACTCTGTTGATAATTCTTTCCCGCGTCGCACTTTTAATTTAAGTAATTTTAATAAAGTATTTTTGTCTTCAAGTACCTAAAAAGTGTTCTCCTTCCTTCTCATAGGTAGATACTTAATCATGTCTCCCCCCAAAATTAAGTCATGAGGTTATTTTATTAAGAAAACTGAATCGTCGCCATATTGTAAACTGGGCGAGATTAAGCATAATCTTTTCAAACATTTGAAAAGAAAACACCCGTTGATCAATTTTCTCAACCTCGATAACGATAAAATTGCAATATCAATTTTGTTGAAATGTGTTGACAGCTTTTCCTTTCTTACCTACGTACCCACTGTATGAAAAAAATGTTTAAAAATATGAACAAACTGCGAATTTTTGTTTATTTTCACGCATGAGCGTATTTTACCCACAAGTCGGTAGTGAGTAAGTTGATCATTTATGAATAAACGGCAAAGTACTCATATGAATAAGTACTCGTTAGTATTGAATAAATTCTGTCGATATTTGAGAAGTATCGAGTATTTCTTTCGTTATCAGTATCGAGTACTGGTATCGAATATTTTCGAATACAAGGGAAAAGGAAACCATCGTGCCCTTTTTGGCTAAATGCACCATTTTGTCCGAGAAGCGTGCTTCATATTTGGGTAGTGCTGTGCTCTCGGAAGAAGGCCTAGTCAAACTTTTAATTGAGCCAAGCCGGCAGCGAATACTATTCGCTCGTACGCCTGGTTTACCACTGAGAACTGGTAGAAGAGTTCAATTTTTTATGCATTATAAGAAATTTTTACTTAATTAATGATATATAAATCTATCTTGTTCTTTGTTCACCAGATTATTTTATTTATGTAAAAAAATTATTTTTGTTTTTGGTGTTTTTTTTGTCTTTCTAATTATGTTATAAAATATAGAGAATAATATTATATTTTGTTGGCTATTTTATTATCGTTTATCAATATTTTGACAGTATTCTCGCCTCCAAGCAGACAGATATTCCACTGCTGTAAATACTTATGTTTTTTAAAATGGTATATTTTGTTATTTCAAATAACTGTCAAGTAAAGTATTATAATTATATTATTATAAGGTCTTAGTTGAGGTGAAAAAAGTTAGTGTCACGAGCGGGATTCGAACAACTTGACAAATTAAACATAATTTAAGTTTTTCTGAGCAACTGTTACTTTTTTCAAAAGCCGCACATAGTTTTCCAGGATGCGTTGTGCACAAGCAACCTTGACGGGGTGTTTTTAATTAAAACAGTTGATTCAGACCGTCTTTGTTTTATTATTCAAGAGCTTCTCTCCTCGTCTTGTGCTTTAATCCCCAGGCGAAGAGGTCTCTTGAAAATGCAAAAGCTTGACTCTGACAGGAAGGCGGGGAAAGCTTAAAGTTTAACACTACTTTTAACTTAAAATCGTTAAACAGAGGCAAACACGGTTCAACCGGATTGCGTAAATCCTTTTATTTTTATTTTTTAAATCATAACCCAGATCCTTTATTAATGGGCTAATTGTAACATTATGTATAAACATTCTACAACGAATTCCCAATATATAAATATTGTGAAATAATTTATTATTATGTTATAACTGCCCTAGAGTAGCTACATGCAGCTTTTCTGTCGGGGAGGGTTTGGGATGAAAGGTGTTTCACTACGATAATGTCTAGGCTTTTGTATTCTTCCGTATTGACTTCTTGCGGTATGAAGAACAAATGGGAAAGGTTAGATAAAAAAGGTTCTTGCGTAATGGTTCAACGAATTTTGGACTTGTGTGCCGGAAATCTGCTGGACGCTTGGGGTACCGAAAATTTCGATTCCGCTGGAGTTATTATTTCTAGATGAGGTGTTTTCATTGCAAGTTTAGTTTTGTTTTGTTTACAAGTGGCCTTTCAAGCGGATTGTATCGTCTGTTCCTTATTTAAGTAAGACTTTTTCCTAAACAGCAGAAGGCATTGTTTGCTGGGAAAGGAACAGAGCTTTAATAGATGGGAAGAGCGGTAATATGAAAAAGGTTGAACGGTGATTTACAGTAATTTGATTTCGTTGAGTCTGAACCTCCATTAAACCATTTTTCCAGGCAGGAGAGATGGTCCGGTAGGTTTCTCAAGAACACTGCCGCACCTGGAATTGCTGAAGAATGGGTGATCGTCTGCATAATTATGTCAGAATATATTTGGATTCGACATAGAAGATAGGGGAGAGGAATTTCCCGAATCGTAATTGAACGTACTTATGTATCGGACTTTAAGATGGTAAAATAGTTGAATGGAATGATGTCCTTGAGCAAATCCGCGTGCCATGCCTCAAAGTTTTATGTTATTATCGTTTTAATTTATTAACAAAATTTTATTGCTCTTAACCGTACTGCTAGGTGTTTTATTGAAAAAGAAGATTGGCGTTGTTATTGGCCTATGTCTTTTCATAAATATAACACTTTTATGAGAGCCAAAAAAGGGTGGGCTAATCACATAGGAAAGTAGATTCGCTAATTATCAGTTATTTATTTATTTAACCGTTCTAACAGTGTCATGAAATGTATTTTTTTCCATGTTCTTGTAATTCAGGCCATGAGGTTTCAAACAATGTCGAAAGTTGGCAGTACTGTTTTTGAAATAAGAAACAGCCAAACGTGACATCAACCTCAATCCACTACATCTTTACATTTACAACAATTGATCGATCGTATCAAAAACTTTAACAATTATAATAATTATGGTGATCATAATGAATAAAGGAAACCAACGTCGGATGACTTTTAATAACATTTTAATGAACTAAATCAGAATAAGCATAAATTACCTCATATTATGAATTTACATTTCAAAACTGTCAACACAATTGAACGGTGAAAGAGAACGGAGAAAATTTGGTAAAGTGAACAAATTATGTATACAAGTGTATTCGGTAGACAGTATGTTGAATGATGTTTTTGTCTGGTCATTGTTGATTGATTTTTGTTAGTTAGAAATAACGGATATTTGGAAATCCAAAAGGGTTTAGCACGTGTTAATTTTATCGATTTTTGAGTTTAACAATAAATATTTAATTTTTCCAAGTTGAAAAATAACAGAGACAATTTTCTGGGAAGAAACTTGTCTTTCGATGAATATGTTGTCGATCATTAGTACATATTTAATAAATATAAAATATAAATAAATATATAATAATAAATATAATATATAAAAACAAATAAGAGTTCGCCTAATGTAATTTTTTTTATTTATAGCATTCACTATTAAGGTACTTTCAGATATTTACTAATTTTGGAACTTTATTTTTCAGCAATAATCCGATCACGTTTCTATCATGTATAGGAAAAAAGGCGCATATTGTTATTTTAATAAAGGCCGGCAACAATGGCCCAACTGATTTCGCGTTTAGCGATCCAAAAGCAAGAAGAGAATGAGTTTACAGAAATTAGAAATTAATTGATGCCAGCACGAAGGGCTAAATCATAAAACCATTAAGCCCTCTCCCCCATTTCCAAACGTTCTCTCGTGAGCAAACGCGTTTGACGTATTTTATATATGAAGAGTGCCGGCCCGTTGAAAATATATTATTTACCAGCCGCCCCAAACTCGACATGCAACTCACAGCCGAACACACACTGAATATTTAACCGCTGTGTTCAACACCGATGGCGAGGGCGAAAAGTTTCGAACCGCAAATATCGTTTGAAGAGTTCGCTCGCCTTGCGCCTCTGAGCCTTTCGGGATTTGGACTTGCTTCGATTAGGTGATTTATAATTCAATCCATTCGACGATTGGTTATTACTTGTTGGGTGTGAAAAGCTGCTAGACCCGATTAGGTTTACCTTTCTCAAGGCTTGAAAATATTATTTCTTCCCAAGACTCGCCAAGTTTTTTGTGTTCTTTTCAATTAATAAAAAAGCCAAATGTTTAGCATAATGGAAAAAAGGGGTAC